CCCCAAAACCCCAAAACCCCGTAATGCTCTTTATTTAAATTAGCCACGAATTAAGAATATCAAAATTAAAGTATTATTGATAATTTTAAATGACCCATAAATTCAATAAATTTCTTACCTATTCTGATAACCTCTCAGATATCTCGCCAGTAATGTCCTATTACTGTTGAGTTTATGCAGCTGAAATTCTGATGCAATAACAAAAGCAAAATTCTCTTACTAAAGATTAAAGCTAATCACTTTCCAAATTATTAGAGATATTATAGATTCAGAAATAAAAGCTAGCATAATAACCATTGCAGGTACCAGCTAAGAATCATGAGCAAATCATCTAAGATTTTATCAAAGAGTAATTGATTGACTTGAGTATCAAGGAGAAAATTGGAATAAGTACCAGGCTTATATAAGGTTACCTTGAGTGCTGTGATTATTTTGAGGTGCTAAATTTGATAAAGCCATTGGATGAATATTGGAAGCAAAAGTACAAGAATACTTTGATTTTGGCAAGAGATTCTTAAAAAGAATTAGAGAGAATGAGGGAAATTTACAAGCCAAAGTCCAATCAAGATTAGTAGAAGAGCCACTACCCTAGTCTTTACCCAGAAATATCTGACTATAAAAATACTCCATTTAATCAAGTGTAAAGTCCACATAAAACAAATATACCTTTTAAGCTTGGCTAATAGTAAATTTTAAATCCTGAATCTCAAACATAAACCAATATTCTAGATTAAAAAATACCTACCCCTGAAATAAATAGCAACGATCTGACACCTTTGGTGATAGACACAGAAAATTAAGAAAATAGGGAAAGTGAGTAATTACCATTAAAAAAGAGGAGATCCTTTGATATGTCTAAGGACATGAGATACTATAAAAGTATTGATGAAGCCAAGAAAAGAGCTTTGTATGCTATATATGAGCTAGAGCATAATAATAATCATAAAGCTTTTGAATTCCTTAATGAAGGTTTTAATATAATTAAAGAATTTAATTAATGAATAAATTTTAAGCTTACTATGACCTGGGGTTTTGGGGTTTTGGGG